TGATTGACAGAATACAGACAATTCTCCCGTATCAGAAGGTAGTGGTATATGACCTTGTTTCTAGTGTTGCTTTTGAGGACACCGAGGCCTTTCAAATCCTTTTCAACTGCGACGTAATTTACTAACCTTTTTCTAGAAATTTATAGTGCATTCCCTGGCCTTTACAATCTGACTTTTGAGAATTATATTCTTGACACTGAGTCTATTTTCATTCATTATACAGTACATGGCAAGGCTTCTTCAGTCCTGAAAGTCATTTCTCTACATTATGGAAATTTTAGTAAGTTATGTAATTGCTTCCTTACTTCATTTCCTCTGGCCTTTTCTCCTCGAACTTTTATTATTACAACGTTAAACTTTCCCGCACTAGAGATTTGTCCTCTAATTTTCTAAGACTTTATTGTAAATTTTAGTCATATTTTCTATATTTTTTTCAGAGATTGAATTTTACTTTTATGATAGTTACATTAACTATTCCATTGTTCTTACCACATTTTAATTTCTAAGAAATTGTTTTGGATTTTGAATTTTTAAGGACAATTATACTTCTAAAAGCTGTTTCCCCACCCTTGTACAATTTATTTCATTTCTAATCTTTGTTGTTATTTGGTCTGTATTCTTAAATTTGAATCTTTCCATAAATACCTGGAGATCTTTGGTTATTTGATCCTCTTTAACAAGTAACAAAACATGCCTTGAAAACATTGAACAATGTATTAGCATAAATTTTAATTAAGATTGGTTTGTTTGACACTTACTGAAGATACACTGGCACCAAATGTTAATAACACTACTTGGGTTTTCAGAAAAGAATGCTCCATTTACTTGCCTAGGTGAAAATAAACAAAATGTAAATCCTTTCTGCAGAGCTGCCTGTGGTGAGGTGAAGGAAAAGATTCACTTCACTCTTGGTCTTTGTGTAGCACTCTGGCATTCTTCAGTTCAGAATCCACCCTATCCAGGAAAGAAAGAAACCACAGAGAGCATTCCCTAGAAGCAGAATGTCCTAGGTAGGGTCCTGAGCACTGGGTTGCTTTCATGTTCGAATTTAGTGAGCTGCCTTCTCCCCACTTCCAGAGAAACCTGTTCTCCTCTGGGTTAGCACTCGATTTTCTTGGGTCTATTAATCTAGCTGTTAGAGTTCCACTTTCTCTCCAATTTCCAAGTAACACTGTTGTCACCTTTCCTGTATTCTCATTTGTCAGGGCTTTGAAAAGAGAAAAGAAAATATCTATTTATTGAGGTTTAAAAAGGCTTCAAAGGTAAGGAAATTATATTCCTATGTTTGATCCACCATTTGACCTAAAATTTCAGCAGTATGCCCTACACTAACAAAAATCAATAAAGTCTTCATGGAGGACAGCAATCGTAAGCATAGTAGCTCAATAGATGTACAAAGTAACTAACTGTTTTTAAAACAATTTCTTTGCTTGTTTTTGAGCTGTTTATCTGTTCTATTTTATTCCTGACTTGGCTTCTTTCTTATTTCTTAGTACTTCTCTCAACAATATCCTAGTTGCTTTCAGATCAAAAACATTATTTGATATCCTGTCCCATTGTCCCACAATAATTTAGATTATATTTCCCTCTGAATAAACAAAATGACTTCAAAGGTTCTGGCTAGTTCTTCATTATAGGGGGGAGTCCCCTATCACATTGTATTAAGTAAACTATTAACTACTTTACAATACTTATGGTTAGATTTGAGGAAGGATTTACCTTTTGGATATTGTCCTTATATTTGCTGTACCCATGGGTACCTCCAAAACACAGTTCTTCTAATTTCCCCAGAATATAATAACTGGAAAATGTTCTCATTACTTGAAAAGTGACAAATAGAAGTAAGAGAAACGTATAAAATTTATCTTAAATTTCAGGCTTACCTTATGGCCTAATATGAAACATTTTAAAGAGGGATGGAAAGTAAAGTTTTAGAGAACAATGTCAAGTACTTAAAATTCTTGAAGTTTGAAACAAATTATTTTAATATCTTTATTCATAAAACTATTCAGATAGATTAGAGACTATTTAACAAAGCCAAATAAAATTTCTGTAATTCTTATTATTTTTAAAATATTATTTGATTTAGTGCAGCACATTTTCTGAAGCTCTTCCTTTCCAGAAGACACTACAGTGGAGATCTCAGTAGGAGAAAAACAAAACCACATCACACAGTGAGGACAGCACAGTTCCTAGAAAGTAGATGTTAGGAAGGAGCACTAAAAATAAACTTGAAAACAAAATAATCCTTATCTAAATTTTGCATAAAGTTATGGTCATACAGTTTGTTATAACACCAGAAAACCTTTGAAGTGAGAAGGATGCAATATTAATTATTCTATGATTGCCCTAGGTCAATACCTTGGAAATTCAAGATTTTAAAGGTACATGGATTTTACCTACTTAAGTCAGGGAAAATAATGACAGCAAAGTTGAAGTTCAAAGTAGATTTAAAAAAATACATTACAAAGACAACACACAGGAAATGGCAAATATCAAGATTTTAGGTGCAATAATGTTTACTGGTGGAAAATCTTGAAAGGTAAGTAGAGGATAGATTTTGGAGAGTATACATATAAAATTTTTGTACTTGGAATTGAGGAGAAAGCTTGGTGGGTAGGAGCTCCTTCATTTGAGGTCCTGAGCTCTGAGCTTCTACACCCTAGTCAAAAGCTGTAACCTGTTGCTCTGAGAGTAGGGAGTTGCTGGGGCCAGTGAATGCTAGCATAACAACTGGTTCAGTGAGAAACTTGGTCTCAAGAGAAGAGGCAAAATGATAGGCAACCCTTTTGAACACCTTCCCACGCTCAACCAAATACTTTCAAGTATTTAAAAGAATATTTATTTTTGGTAGTGCAGTTCAATAACCTTGTTAGGGAAGATGCTTGTGCCAGGAATCAAGGGGAGTTGTAAAAGAAAAACTGAGATAGGCAAGAAGATGCAAGATAAAAAACATCTAAGAGAAATAGGAAAATAGAAATTTTCCACAGAAATGCTGTGGAAGTATATTGTAGTGCTCGTAAGAACTTATGAAGACAGGTGTGACCAGGGGTAAAGGAAGACCCAAGATAAACAAGATTTGATGGACAGGTACCTAAAAACATCTAATACCACAAATAAAATATAAAATTCAAGAAATACATCTCTTTTGAAAGAAAGAGAAAGATAGCGGTGAACTATTCCACAGTTGATTTCAGAAAACGGACAAATGAATCTTAATTAGTTCACAAGTGTGGAAATTTTTAATATGAATTTCACCACTCATTATAAACCTACAGCCCAGGAGATAGTGTAAAATAAAGATCAAGAACATTGTATAGACTTGAATAAACTCATAATATTTAGTGTCAAAAGTCGCCCATAATGGTAAGATTGGATTCTAATGTCTAGAATCCAATATCTGATGTTCGCTGACTATGAACCAGTAGAGCAGCGAGTTCTGAGGGTAGAAGAGGTAAGTAATATTTGTAGACTTACACAACTATCCAGGAGCTATCTGGAAAAAGTACTTACTAGTGGTTATGTAACTATTAGCCTTAAATACTATGAGTAAGTCAAACGGGGTGGGAAATAACAAGTAGTTATTTAATGTATTTAAACACTACAAGTAGTATTTAATGATAGAAATCTCACATACTTTAGAAGAAATTGATGCAATGGAGAGCTGAAGAAAACAGAAAGATTAACAGAAGAAAATAATTAAATACACAATTTATTTCTAGGATTAAGATAAGGAAAGAGAAAAAAAATGGAATGGAAGGGAAGTGGTAGGAGAGGTGGAGTCAGTTGTAAGGAGCTTCTGGTAACTAAAGTAACTAATATCTGAATGTAGCAGAAGATATCAACGTGACTTGAATCACGCAATTTAGTCTTTAAAAAATAGGTTTAGAAGATGAAAACATGTAAGTCATCTCAATAAACGCATTCTTACAATGTGCCAGGCACTTTACTAGATTCTTTATAGCATTATCAGGGTGTTACTTCTTCAAGAAGAATCCTTGTCACATGTGGATTAAAAGCATATAATTAGGTCGGTCATGGTGATAAATGAACATAAGCCCAGCAGCAGGAGGCTACAGCTGGAGGATTGAGAGGACAAGGTCAGTCTTGGAGTCGTTCTCCCTCTGCTCTCACCTCTCATTTTCTCCCTACGGGCTTGTACGTGCACATATAATTAATTTTTGGTATACAGATGGACAGTGAATGTCTTTTTACTTTACTCCCATTAAAATTATTATTCTTTGTAAAATTCAGATGGCCTTTATGATTTGGAGATAACTGATACATGCAAGAACTGGTTTTCAGAAAATGCTTAGTTCAGAAATTTTAAGGACTACTATTGACTGTTTCCCGAAGTCTATTTAGCTTATTTTTAATTTATTCAAATGTTTAATTCAAAAGAGCTTATTCTTAGTTTTATTTCAGGGAGTTGGTTGCCTGCCTTTCTTTAATATAATAAGATGACTAAAAGAAAGAGGACTGAGATAATTCTAGTCATGTGCTCAGCCCTGGGTTCAGACCACAGCACCAACAAAAAAAGAGAGAGTTCCACAAATGAATTTCTGCAAAAGACTTGGTATAAGACATAAAACAAAATTTAATTCAATTCACCTAGCCCGGGTGGGCATACAACGTTACGTAATAGCTCACACTTACTTCTTCAAATAGTTATTTTTCATACTTCTTGAGTCTCATAAAAAGTCATGTCTGTGCTCATGACCACTTGCCTGAAGTGTGTGTGGCACAGCAGTACTTTAGCGCTTCTCCTTGATCACAACTGTTTGCCTTCCACTAGTTGTATGGCAATCCTACAACTGATAGGGCCGCTTAAAGAAACTTGCTAATTCAGAAAAACATGCAAGAAACATTTTTCTAAATTACCTAAGCATTTTCAATTACCTTTTCTTAATTAGGAAGCCAAGGACCGTAAAGACTAAGGCTATTGATCAGATTCTACATGCTGGTCACAAATGAAAGCAAATCATGACTAAAACCACATGTCTATGAACGATTTTTCGGTTTTCTTATTTATTGACATTTTTTTTAAAATTACAGCACAATGAATTGATGGTCAATACAGAAGATGCAACAGTATAAAAAGCCTTTAAACCTTTCCTTAGGTTAAGACACTTACAGCAGACAAACACTGCCCCATCCAAACCCCTTCTGGAATGGAAACGAAATAAATATAAATTAATAAATACAAAACAAATAACTGCACAGCCCTTAACTCTTTGATTGCCATGGCACAAACCATGCTGATGATTCTAGCTTGTGACATTTGTATGGTTAAGGTTGCCGCAGCAGTCAAAGGGTTATAGCATTGTAAACATAAGTACATGGTGAAAATACTCAGTCATGTTACTGATCTATAGAAGGAGATTAATAGCATGACCCTTGACCTTTAATGAGGCCTCATTATAAGGAGTCAAGGAGATAATAGCTTGATGTGCTATTACACAAACTAGGCAATCGTTTTATTAACAATGTGCTATGAAGCTTTAATTGTACTAATAAAAGACAATTTGTGAAGAAACACTGTTCAATACACTGGTCAATAAAATCAATGAAAAAAATAATTGAAGCACCACAAAATTTTGCCTGATTATATCTGACAGTCATAATACACTTTAGCACCATTTATTTAGCCTTTTATTTGCACACAAACAAGCTTTGTGTTTGTCAGTAGAAGCAATCAGAAAAAAAAAATATGCCAAGGTTAAGATGGAATAAATGTGTATAATTCTGTGTGGGCAAAACCATAACATTCAACCCTGAAAATCCACTGAGAAAATAAATGTGTCATTCCATGCCTTGTACACAGAAACGTACATGTTATCAAAACTTTAGTGAGATAATGTAGAGTACAATGTAAGAAACTCAGAGTTATATTTTCATACTCCCTCGGTAACTGAAAACATTTTAGGCATTAAATAAAGGCTAAGACACAGTCAACCACAAGACAACTGTCTAAAATCCTAATTTCCTGGCCTTTCTCTCTGCTTCGTAGTCTAACGTTGTCTTATAAATTCTGTTTTACCTTTAATGTTTGATTCCTAATATCCACACTATACAAATGAGAGGTGATTTTCATAGGAAGCTATACAATGCTAGGTGTTTACCTATAAGACAATTTTCCTCTGCAATTGCTTATATTTCATTTGGACTCTGAAGGTTAAATGCCTGTGTAATATTTTAAAAAAATATGGTATTTATTTGATAAGTGATGAGTGCTTCTTTCTCTTAACCTGTCTAGTGAATATATATGTATAAATACAGACACATATATATCGTACACTATATATTTCCCAAAATACGTTACCAGATAGCTTATATAGATATCACATATCTATACTCATTGTCAGTTATATTGATTCACTATTGGAATCAAGATAACAACATGTATTGAATTCTAAAAACATCTTAAAGATAAATACCACACTGGTGAAGCAGGCAAATTTCTCAATGTCAACAATATTTGATTTGTTTAAAAAATTAGACTATGAACTGATTATATTTTATGTTTTTATTAAAAATTAATCTTGTTAAAAGTTTATATTAGCACAAAATTAAACCAGTAAACTCCAGCCATTTAATTTCCATAATATAAAACCAAAAAATATTTTATTAAAATTAGATACATGTTAGAAAAAAATTTTTAAAGATTTTTATGATTGAAGCAAATTTTTATGGGCAAGTCTCTAAATCCCCTGAAAACAGAGGTCCACCATAGAAATGCTGATATAGTCAAAAGCAATGCAGCAGAAGCCACTGCTATGACATACATTATTCTTTATTCTATCTATCTCTTTCTTATATATGCAATTTACCTCTAATGGGAAATAAAGATTCAAGGCTGTAAGCATGCGTTTCCTCCTAATGTACTTAAACACTACATCGTGATATTTACCATACTGTATATTTATATTTCATACATTCTCCCAAAATAAATTTTCATTGCTGTCTTTTCAACAGATAACAGCAATTATACTCAGCATTTCACTTCTTTTCAGGGGAAGAGCTCTATAAAAATATAAACCAATGCAGAAGTTTGGGATGCTATAAGGACTATGTTTTCCATGTAATTTATGATGGAAAATTCTGAGGAACAAAGACACATCTCCAGGGTTTCACCTTTATGTTCCTAAATTCTGGTTTTCACAAAGAGAACGAAAATAAAATCTAATTAAAAAACAATAAAATTGGGGAGAAAACAATGGTGACTGAAAGGAATCAAATAATGATCACAGAAAGGTGTGTGGAAAATGCTGACAATCATCCACTCTTGATTAGAATCCATGGTTGGTTGACTTTGAAATTTGTATCCATGACTATAGAAAGGAATAATATCATATATAATGAATATAGAATAGAATTTATATCATATGTAAAAGAAGAAAATGACTATGCAACATAAATTCCTAATTTAACACAGAAAGTCGAATTCACAAGAAGCAAGAAGTGAGGTGGTAATATTATGTCAGTGTAGTAAAAAAATTATATTAGATAACCCTTGCATTACTACTGAAACTATTCATTCGAAGTATGTTTTATACTAACAAGTGGGCTATTGGTATATAGAAAGGGAATGAGATCCAATTGGTATCACATGACAGCAAACATGCATTCTAGTGACTTCAAATAGACAGGGTACACAAGGCTCTATTCATCAGTATACTGCCAAGACAGCAACACACATTCATCCAACTCTTGCAAGTACAAGCAGCACCACAGCCTATCCCTTCCTGTCACACCTCACCACAGCATGTATCAAAGGCCTGTGCTGAAAACACTACGCTTGCAATCCAGTCTAGGTGCACAGCAAACGCTAGAAAGAGGTCCATATGCAACTCATATATATGGAAAAAAATGTTTTTTTTTTATATGAACAAATGCAGGTGAAAGAAACTGTAGAGAATGTCTTTGTAAGGTACAGCTTTGTTTTGTTTGTTTGCTTTATTCTAGCCCACCATCCTTCCTTTTCATTTTCTCAGTGAAATAATAGTGATATCTTACTTTGAAGCTAAGTGGCATAGTGGGAAAGTGTTATATTTATATTTTTCTTCCCTTCTTAAGGGCATAAATATCCAGCTCTGTGGCAGAGCGCATGGCAATGTCATGTGAGTCAGCACAACACTCCAACTCGTGATAGGTTTTCCTTCATAGCCCAGCGTGCCCTTTCATAGAAGGACACATAGAGCACACATCTGAATAATATAATTAGCTCTATGTTAATATAAGAAAATTACAAGACACACTCCTTTTTCCATTGAAAGACATAGAATCTCAGATCTCTCCACATATAAATGTTCTCCACATATAGCTTCTTCTGGTTATGATGTACTGATCCCAAGTACTGATTTTTTGCTCCATTTTCTTAAAAAAAAATCCCTACAAATGCCTGTGAAACCTTTGTTATGTCACTAAACTTTTTGTAGTCTTCTATCACTACCTACTATTTACTCTCAAGTAATGATGTATGTCATGTTCTGTCATTAGTTCATAGCCATGCTCAAACACGGAAAACTGCCACTTCTGGTTACTACCAGCAAATAGGTGGGAATTATGAAATATCACCAGGGATTTTCAGTGAATTTCTGTGACTATGTCAAGTCAGTCATCGTTCTAGGTTTTCTATACTATTGAATTCTATTTCAGAGTAGACATGTTGAAGGAGATATATAGTTAGATGTTATTAATCTGACCTCAAATATCTCAAAATCAACTCAAATGTAGACCAATAGCCAGACAAGAGAAATGGTGTGAGTGGTGCATTATAGACATGTAGATCAGACTAGAAACACTAAGGCAACTTTTGCTACTATGCCAAGTGTTCTGCGTTTTATGATTATTGAGGTAAGTTTCTATCCTAGAGAAATGGCTTTTCTCACAGGGTTCTAATGTCTTTCTGACTGGGGTTGCTTTTAACATTTTGGGTCTATGAGGCAATGGGTGAGTATCAGACACATTTACACAGTGACATCTACTGAGCACTGACTAAGTATATACATTGATACCACACTCATCAGTGGTGTAGGAGCTTGAAGTTTCATTTTTTTCTCTATTATTTTGATCTTGCTAAAATAAAACTTCCAGTTGTAATGTTACAGAGTGCTAAAGTATGACTTTATATTTAACAAAAGACTGGTTTTGACCTTCTTCACTGCCCACTCTACTTATAAAATGGAGTTTTCACATGAATGATGTGGTGCTATCCTTGGTTGTTAGTTTCTTTATTCTACTGAGTTTAGCCTTTAAAGGGTACTTGTTTAAACTTTATGGCATAGCTCTCCTTTCTTCTTAGACAACAAGAAACTCATTACTAGACTCTGACACTTATTTCCTGTGGTTCTTTTACATCTATTATGGAGGTGAATGCCACTGGACAGAAGGATAAGACTCTACCACATGAGTGGCTTGACCCCTTCTATGGTATCATAGCTTAGTAGATACTGTATTTGTACCTCTTTTCTATAGATCATCTGAATGTCAAACTGTGGTCTCAATGGTAGATTGTGCCTATGATAGCTTGGAATATGCTCTTAAAGTATCAAAAATTAAACATTTTGCTGTGATTACTGTAAACACTTCCTCACCATCCCCAGGCTTATTTCATTATATACTACAAGCTCACAGACTCAAAACTATCAGCAAATCACTGCCTTTATTTGTTTCTGGAAATAAATTCAAAATACCTAAAAATCTGATTATTTGTATGACTTTTGTGTAACATATCTATTCAAGTATAACAGCTATTCTTCTTCAGAGAGCACATTGAGTTCAATTAATATGGGCACACCAGTTACTCAGCTATAAGGTCCACATGACAGGAGTCAGAATTTGTGCCATATTAGAGATATTAACACAATATGGAGAACTTGAGAATATTACATTACTCTTCCTAGAATCCAGTATATACACCCTCTTTCAGATCTCAGCGGGCAGTAGAATCCAGGCAATGTTCTTTTAGCCACTACATTACATTGTAATCATTCACAGAAATGAAATACAAATAAATGTACAGTATGTGAAAAGCCAAATTATGTGTTGATAAAAGAGATTGTAGGCGGCTCAAGTAACAAAGGTAACATTTTCTTATTTCAGTAAAGCTGTCTCTATTTTTGAATACTTAGTAATTGTTTTTGGTGATTATTACTTACGAATTTATTACATTTGTTTGAGATAAGCCTAGCTCTCTGGTTAGGAACAGAGACTCTATTTGCTAGTAGAGTTCTACTACTACTGTTCTCTAATTGAGCTCTGTAGCCTTTGTCATGTCGGCGAACATCTGTCCTCACCTGTTGTGGTGGCCGTCTGCAGAAAACTTTGTTCTCAGATGGGTTAGCAGTTATCTAAAATTACAGCTTTCTTTACACACTGATGCAGAACTACTGCTTTATAAAACATTCCAACTGGCCACCTATCTTAATATTTTACTTCGTCTGATTAATAATGTATAGAGAAACAATATTTATCTGAAATTTTAAACTACAAATTCATTTTATGTAAAACCAGTACCATGTTTACAATTGTCTTCAATATTTGGTAAAGTAATAAAAATAATGAAGCAGATGAATTATTTATGAACATGAATATGTTTTCATTTCAGTTTTGGAAATAGTAGGTTTGAGCTGTTCATGTTACTCATTTAGAAATGACAGAAAAAGACTTGATTGATTGCATGTCTTCACTGATATTGAGCTGACATTATGTTTTTTATGCAGAGAACGTCCTTTTTAAAATTTCTAATTGCTATTTTCATATACTAGATTAATTCATCATTTTCATTTTCCTGCTTTCTTTAGCATTGCCACATTTCTCTTTTCTTTTCTTTTATTTCATTTTTTTTTGAAAACAAAACAAAACAAATCCCAAGTGTAAGAAAAGTCAGCAACCATATGGATATAGTGCCTGGCACACAATGAACAAAGGAACCCCAGTGTTTTTTTTTTATTACATCATACTTAGTTCTTATCATTTATCATCTTATAAATGTCCTAGTCAAGATAGTAGACATATAAACCTGTTTTAAAAGTACATAGACTTCTCATATTCAAGGCAACACAACCCAAATCATATTCATAATGTTTGCCATAACTCAAGCAAAATGAAGATTCCTTCCTTTTCAACACTGTGATTGTTTTCGAGCCCTTAGGTACTTACAGTCTTGTGACGAATCAGGGTACTGTGGTGAATGAGTAAAGAGGCAAGAGATTGCTTATTCGACTTCTTTTTGATTTTAGAGAGAAAAAAAGGTTCAATGTACGTTGATGGAGTTTCTCAATGATTTGCACATGTCCCGAAATGTTACAGTTCCTCACTTCTATCATTAGAAAAAAGCATCCAGTCATTTTTTTTTTCTTGACATCAAGATCCTGAAAGGATTAAACCCTCTAACAAGCAAACACTGTATCAACAGGTTTATGTATACGGTCCGCCATGCTCTGCAGAAACTAACTATAATATTAGCATTATCTAGAAAGGAAGTTCTGAAGTAAAGATACAGGGCTGATCCTGGCCCTCCCCTTTCTTATTGACCCTTACATTCAAATCTTTGATGTCCTGTTGAAGTCCAAACTGCATTTCATAAGTGATACTACAAAGCCATTCCTCTTTTCAAACTGTTCTTTTTGTCTTAGCCTTACAGGATATATGCTCAGATTGTAGGAAACACCAGCTTGCAAGGCTTTTCAGCATGCCACCCATGATTAAAAAATATTTTCCCCAACCAAATCATAAACATGTAGTTTAACCAAAACGCATTCTAATTTTCATGCTATGTTGAGTATAAATATAAATTCAAGGCAGCCAAACTATCCATTTCCAAATAAGAATGTATACCTACACTCATTAAAAATCATCTGGAAATGTGTATTATTAGCAAATGAGTAAGAAATTTTCACTAGTATAAAATTCCTGCTTTATATAAAAGCCACACTGGCCATTCAAGTATTTGAGGTTTTTTTTTCCTATTTTTTTTTGTAATTTTTACTAAAATGATGAAATTAAGCTTGAAATTAAAGAAAAAAATTAAAAAAAATACCTCTACCTATAGGGCATATTCAGAGTGTGCATGTAGAGAGCAAAGTGTCCAACTGCAGATCCAATACCCAAACTCTCTCCACGTTAAGGAAACAGCTCTTGCTTACTAGGTCTTAGAGAGTAACAATCCAATGGAGAAGCGACACCAAATTTCCTTCAGTTTGTGCCAGTTTGCAAGTTAAAGGTCAAAGGGCAAAGACACAGAACAGGACTCTTCAGGGAAAATTTTCACAGAAGACAATGTTTAAGTTGTTGTTAATGACAGTCAACAGATCAATATCAAGTTCAAGGCAAGCTGTTCATTGTTTCAAAAGCTAATCCCCTCCAAAGCTGGCTTTCACACAAAGCCAATTGTCTGACTTGTGGGGTGCTTTCCTTCTGACCATCTCTAATAAGTTCACAGCCCAGTGGCTGCAAAGACTTTCACTGCAAGAAGCAGCTCCTAAAATCAATAGAGGTCTGTCAGTTGCTGACTTTTCTCTAGGAAAAAAATATTGATACAAACCTGCTCTGCAGGTCACATTAAAATGACAATACTGCTGTTAGGACAAATTACACTCAACAATGGAATGCTTTGGTGTCTCTTGGCTCTGTCAGTGATCAAATGGATGGCTAAATGCCAGAAGCCACACCAACCCTTTGAGAACTATGGCTGACATGCAATTGGTAATGCATTGGAAAGTATTCATGCAAACTCAGAGTCATTGTTTTAATTCTTTTTTAACCCCACAATGCTAACTGGATATTTTATGGCAAATTGAATTTTCATGCAATGGATTTTAAATAAAAAAATTCAGTGTGTCTGAAGAAGAAAAGGCTTAGTTTCTTCTAACCAATTATTCAAATAAAATTTCACTCTCATAAGATATAGTTAACAAAATATCTTTTTTTATTTGCCAGAAAAATTTTGGCAAGTCACATCACTGTTGTTTGTTATAAAAGTATTTATGGGCTGCTGTCAGTCATTAAAGAATTACATAGGGTTTAAGGTATGCTTTACACATCTGAACTTGTTGAACCTGTGATGGCTTCCACTGTTGGCCAGTTCTACCAATGTGACCAGACTGCAAGACTGATCCACATGACTCTTGAGCCTGGTCTGATAGTTCTCAAAGGGTTACACCGATGTACGACCAGAGTCGCATGTCTTTAAATAATAACCATCACTTAATGACGTCAGAGACACACTTGTTCCTGCTCTGCTTTCTGCTGAGTATTGCTGACAGACCAATGGAAGGCCTGGAACAAAGGCCTGACACAACGAAGAAGAACATCACAATGATGTTGGGTCAGGAGGCAAGAGGGGGTTCAGAAAGATTTCAAAACAATCAAAAGGTCCTGTTGGAAAACAGCTATGAGGGTGGCGGTGATGAAACGTTGTGGACATAGCTGAGGACAGCTGTAGAAAACGAAAAATGCATGTATTATTAAGGCTGTTACTATATTGCAGATATTTTGGCCCCTTGTTTGTTGGAAAATGGCTGTCCCAACAGTCTAGAGTCCTGCATGTCTGTTCCAGATCTCCCACCTGAAAAAAACGATGTGCAGGAGACTATCCATAGTGGTCACAGAGCTATCTTCTTTGGAGACAAAGCTGTTTTGGGTCTTCACACTTTCCTGAAAGTTCATTTATGAATTTTGTGTTGTTTTAAAACTCTTTCTTCTTTTGCTTTAAAGCAAGAACCTAATGGGTTTTCTGATTTGCTCTTTTTTTCTCTCTCTCGCTCTCTCTCTTTCTCTCTCTCTCTCTCTCCCAGAAATGGGCTCAGATTTCAGAAGGAAAAGTATTTTTTAAAAATTAAGAAGAAACTTTTCTTCTATATTTCCTCTTCTTCAGTTAATCCTGAAATTTTACTGGGCATTGAGCGTGCAGAGGAAAGGCCTACAACTGAATGACAAAGAAAGACAGAGGACTGAAGAACAGCGGATACTGTGCCTCATGGAAGCTTCTCCATGAATGTATTTCCACTCATGTGCAGGACCAGGAACCCTCTAGGTTTGGAAGGTCAGCCCCGAATCAGGCTGCCACAAGCCTGCTCCTAACTAGGAAACAGCATAACAGCTCTTGTCTTGAATCTCAAGTTACCACAAACTCCTGGAAAAGAAAGAGAAAAAGAAATCCCTACATCACACCCACTCTTGCATAGAGCGTTTACAGTACAGTATGTGGCGGGGTGTTCCTTTCCTCTTGAACTGGAACACAGTGTAAACCAATACAAGAAGGCATAAGGCCAAGATGCAGGGAATGACAATAGCTATGGCTTTCACAGTGCTGGCTGTGTTGTCCAGTTTGATGACAATGTCTACATCATCTGGTGGACTGAGTCCTTCTTTATCTCTGTCTGCTGGTCCATCACAGCCCATAAAATCTTTGAGGATGGATCTTGGATACCCAGGTTCTACTTTGAGTATCTGGTTGTTGAATTTCCAATACTCCTTTCCTTTGTAGAAATAGGTAAAGCCTGGGGAGAAAACATAGATACACAGATACTTCTTATTTGTGATTGTGTATATGCACATGTTAATGAAAGAGACTACTTCCTAAAATATGTGTTTTAAATCTTAAGTCCTTTCAATTTCTAAAGAAAAAAAAATAACAAAACCCCCAACCCTTAGTTCAACTGTATTACAAAGGCTCTAGGTGCTGCATTCCAGGAATTATACCTTTTCTCTCTATTTCTTTCTTTCATTCCTTCGTTCATTCCTTCTGTCCTTCTCCCCTTTCTCCCCTTCTTCCATGTGACTCTTTACACTTGAGAAAGGGTCTAAGTATGGCCTCCAATCTGGGCTAGAACTCTCTATAGAGAGCATGATGACCTCAAATGTAGGGCAATTATTTCTCTTGCTCAGGCTTCCCAACACTTGCGTTGCAATTGTAAGCCATCAATCCTGGCTAGTATGTTGTAAAGTCTAAGAAATCTGTGCCTAAAATACATGGGTGGCAGGTTATCTATACTCATTCCTTATTGTGGACTGTAAAGAGGGTGTCATCCTTTTTTTTTTTTGGCTTATAGAAGTATTATCATGTAATTCACATTAGAATCATGATATAAACTTTTATCATGGAATTTTGAACTGCTTGAAAAATTAAACCATTGCTGATCCTCAAACTAAAACCGAGGAGGCTGTTTGATGTATAATAAACAAGATTCTTACCTATTCACACCTCAGGGCACGTTCTCAACATCTTTGTATAGGCATATTTTGTGCTCTTCCTAAACAAGAGGTTCCCCTTTGTTATTTGTAGAACTCATATCAAATGAGTGGATTGTAGGTATTTTATTTTGTCTATTGCAAGTTTAACAAGCAAGCATGTATTTGTAGCATGTATGCACTAACCTCATTTCTGGCTATAATTCATTTCTCCTTTGTCTTTTCTCCATTTGCTATTTTTATTTGTCATACCTACTTATCCTAAATTTGTGCTCCTAAGTACACCTTATGGAATTTTAAAATTTATTATTATTTTTTTAAGGAATAATGGGCAAATATATCACTATTTTATCTTAAAACAACTGAGTAATAATTCTAGTTCATCTATGAAGAGTTAAATAAGTTTCAAATAATTCAGTAATCTATGATGCAAAATATTGTGGTTAAAAAAATAGATGTTTTAAGTTCCTAACATACCTTGTGAATTTTCTTAAAAATGTTTTTCAATATTTTAAGATGTGTACCCAGTGAAGTTTCTGATTGTGCTACTTGGATTTGGTTCTTGTTTTTAGGTAAAACTAAAAACTAAAACAAACAAACAAACAAGCAAAAACACAAAACAGCAACAAGAACAACAACAAAAACTCCATAAAAATGCTGAAGTAATTTAAAAATATATTTAAAGAGTTACCTATTTTGAACAGGATGTTACAGCTTAAGCGTTCAAAATTATGATTGTTATTGTATGTTATTATTATGGAAGAGTCAAATTGTTAAAAGCACTGTTTTTATCTTTCTTAACTATTCCACTACTAAGAAGAATTAATCTCCTGATTTTATTTTTTGACAGATACTGAGGTTAAGAGGCAAATACATATGACTAGAACCAAATAAGACTTAAGCACTTTCCCACAGCTAGAGCTACAACACATGACTTTGCTTTGTAAACACCCCTGGGCAGATGGGGGTCAGTCCTGAGATAAAGTATTCTGCAAACTCAGGAAATTTTAGGTAGGACGTATAGGTCATCATTGGTTACTTCATATTGGAAATTATTTGGTTCAGTGCTGTAAAAGTTTGTAGTGGCTTTTAACTTGGAAGTAGAGTTATTCAGTCATAGCGACTGGCCAATGAAAGCAGGAGCATACAGACTCAATTTATCCTGCAAGGGAGCTAGTATCACTCTATTCAGCACGTATGGAGGAGAAGTGCTGAGGAACTGTCAAATAGCAGACTACGAGATGACCACATATGAATAATGCCAATGATTCATAATTAGATCTTCAAATTTGGTGATAGTATTGCTTATGGCTATAAATAGTAGAGTAATACCTACAAGTATCCTCATCTCTAGTTTTTAGCAAAGACTAATTACTATAAAGGGAATGAACAGCACAGCAGAGGTTGGAAGAGGCCTCCTTCCATAATGACCAGTCCAAAATTTTAATTTTACATTAACAAACTACAAACATGGGAATAGAGTTTACATTTCATGAATATATTATTAGGATAATAAAATTTCTCAGTAGAACTAAAAGAAGTAGTGTGAAATCTTTGTAACAGATATATGCCACATTTTGTTTGTGTTCTAATCATCTGTAATAATTTAGGTTTTTTATCTCCATTTATGAAATATCAGTTTAATAAATTTTCAAATGTTTCACTCACGTTTTAGCATTGCTGTTATATTCCTGTGTTATGCTTATGAGGAAAACTTTTAAGAAAGAAATCAATGAGAGTGCAATATAATTTTATATTGTTTTCATTTATATTTGTTTTGATTTTATTGGATCATTTTCTATTGTTTTATCCTCACAAAATAACAAGACATTTATAACAACAACTTACAAAGTAACTTGGAACATTTCTAGGTTAGACCCTCTGTTGCATTTTCTCCTCTTTCTTGTTTTCTTACATGATATTAATTAGTGTTAAAATAAGTTAATGGATAGACTGAATCTTTTGGTAGGACAATTAAAGAGATTTATGAAATATACTTGATTCATATAGCATCAGTCATATTTCATGGCTGATTAAAGGAAGAATTAAAATTAATACTTAGATATTAGATGTAACATGTTTCATCTAGTAACAAAATGAGAAAAACATTAAATTTGAAACACATATAAATTTATGGATTAAAATAAATGGAAGAAGATTTTTAGCAGCAGATTTTGAAAATGGTTAGTAAACTAGAGAAGTCATTTAATATCCTGTCTTCTTTGATTTATGAGTATCAAACATATATAAGGCTTATATGTTGTTTCTTATGATGACAGCCATGGTCTGACAGTGTTGAGGGGAGTCTTCAGCTAAGCATGGATTAGCAGAGAGTGCCATTGAAATTGGCTGAACTCAGGACATAGTCATTGGGACAAATTCCTGTCTCGCACACACTTGATGTATTTTCATTAATTTTCATAGCTATATATTTCACATTATTAAATAATAAACATTCCTCAGTAGTAAAGTACTACTTATACTTTCTTCTAGTTAACTTAAATAAATATAAATAAATTAAATTTGAAATTGCCCAGAGAGTAATATTAGACGTAAATTCTTAAGAAGAAAAAATATAAATAGAAATTATATAAATATATATAATTCATAGCTCTAGCATAATAATTTCAAATTATTTGATTTAACATAAAACAATGTGATATTAAAAAAGGAAACTCAGGAGATGAGTCTGTGCTGTGTACCATTTTCTTTGTGGACAAAAGCTCCCTGGGGTGATTCAGGGATTCCCTTCCAGATGGTGATGGGCTTGGGATAGCCCGGGTCCATGGTTTTCATTTCTTCACTATATCTCCAATATCTAAAATTGAACAAAAATAATAATACATATATGAAAAAATCACTCATGGAAGTATACATTTTCATAAACGTTTGCTGTATGTTTATATAGCTCTTATTAACTTAAAAACAGATTAAAATCACTGGAATACAATTTAACATAAAAATTATTCTCTGTCTTCTGCATTGTATTATTATCTATATCCTTCATATGGTAAAAGGAGTATTCAATCTTTTAAAGTTATTAATCATAGTAAGTGCATAAAGCTATTTAAGTAGACTTTTAATCCATAAGGTTGCAACCAACCATCATGTATGCACCTATACGTGTACAGATGGACACATATACATGCTGACTCTTGATGGTCCTAAAGATATAATCCTGACCAAAACAGACAAGATCTTGCTTTTATTAACACTGGAGTTTTAGACATATGATTATATATACAACAAATGAAATCACCAATGAAGACGTAAAATTGATAGCAGCTATTAACTGCCACGAATAGAACAAGGTATAAAATGTTACAAATATATAAAACATTAGAAAAACAAGTCCTTTGTGGAAAAAATTGATAGATGAGGCAAGAAATGCAAGGGGCAGCAACTATGGGAGGAACCAGTGAGGAAGCAGAAGAAAGAGGGAGCAGGAGTGAGGGAGCAGAAGAGAGGGGTCAGGTGAGAGGGGGCAAGAGAGGGGGAGCAGGAGAGGGGGAGAAAAAGAGAGGGAGCAGGAGAGGGGGAGAAAGAGAGAGGGAGCAGCAGTGAGGGAGCAGGAGAGGGGGGGGCAGGGAGGGAGCAAGCCTCAGTAGTGATCAGAGACTGTCTAGGAGTGAGTGATAAGATAGGAACTACTTAGGACTCTCTAATGGTTAACGTTAATTCTCAACTTGACAGACACTCTAACTAGATCTCTGGGCATTCTTAAGGGATGTAAATTTTTTAATCACTGTAATTGTTGTTGGTGTGTGTGAGTATTCTCTGAGGAGGGGACCCTGGGCAATATAAAATAAAGAATACAAGTTAAGAATTGCAGAGGTTGGCTCTCTTTTCTTTACCAGCAATGCAACGTGACCAGTTGCTTCAGCCACACAGCGCTTTTACTTTGCCTACACAGTGAATGAGTGAATTGTTAGACAAAATAAATCCCCTACTGAATTACTTCTGCCAGAGTGTTTTTTAATCACAGCAACAGGAAATGAAACTAGACATAATCTAAAGATCACCTTGAGTAAACATTTCATAGAATTTAAACTCATACACAATTGTTTTCTGCATTGAACCAAGAATAATTTGGGACATGGAAAATAAGGCACTAACTAATAGTGTGGATGTGAAGAACATATTTTTCCCCACATAATCAACATATAGATGGAAGAACATACCTTGCAATTGGTATAGGATTAAACTTTATTTAAGATTTTCATTTGCATGATGAATAATGGACCATCACACATGCGCTCATTTGCAGATGATATAAATGTAATTTAAAAGTGAATTGTAAAGGACTAAATTAGAGTTATGGGGATAATTTAAAGTCCTACAGACAAAACGATTACTTAATAACATCACTAAATGCTTAGAAATCAGATTAGTTTCCTGACAACCCTCAATATAACTATAGCTGCACTTTATACAAGGTATTATGCCTATAGAGTGAATTCCACAATGCATTACTTTATTACACTTAAATCCTTCAATGATCTCTCTTTATATTGTTCATTAAGTTCTCTGTGATAAAGTTCAAACTATGATCACAGCAACTATGGTGTCCAGTTGAATCAGTGGCACAGCACTGGCACCCAAGTCATCTTCCGTTGTTTTAATAACATAAAATTTAAATTTAAACTAACTCTTCAGTTTATAGCTCAGTAGGGTGTTGAGTCATGCTCTTGCTAGTACTTTTTTATACACCGCATGCCAATGACAATGATGCTGGCCACTCTTACTCTGTAATTTTCTTCAAATATTGGTGTTCATTTGTTTTAGTATAATTTTTCTTTCTCCTAAGTATTCCTAGAATGCTAATCCATGAATATTCATCCAAGCACCTATATCACAAGCCATGGAACATTCCTAGCAATTATATTTCCAAAAATTATTTAAGGAGTGCAAATTTTTATGACAAACTACATATAAGAATATAATTCTGGGTGAACTTGTCAAAATAAATAAACTTGGCTTCTCCTGGCAACGAATGGAAAATAGAATTGGAGATCATTTTGCAATTTGAAGAAGTGAATTTAGGATTAAATCCCTAGGTTGTCTGTTGTATGTCAGCTTTGATATATAGCTCACAATCTTGAATGGGATAGAACTGTTCAACCCTATCCACGATATCTTGCAAAAATTATGGCACTGATTAACACAGGTGCCCATTCTATTTTCATAGATATTTCTAACATCAGCAAAAAAGTCAAGCATTATTTTTTTTCTCATGAAAGCTAAACTTATGGGTTCATTAACAACTAAAAAGCATATTCAGACATTAATACTGTAAGTAAAACAGGTTAAGGGACTTTTTCCCAGCAAATTTTTTTTATTTTTGTTAAAAATTTCCACCTCAAAAGCTAGGTCTTTTCATAGAGAAATCTTGTTACCGTGTGAAAGTAACCTTTTGGACAGTTATTATAAAGATTATAAAGGTCATTATAGCCTTTTCATCTGCTCTGATAGTTATCTCTACTGCATAATACTGATTTTCATTAGACAAATAATTTTAAGAATTATTTATATTTATTTGTTTGTGTTTGTGTGACTGTATCTCTACTGCATCTCTACTGCAGTATTATGCAGTTATCTCTACTGCATAATACTGATTTTCATTAGACAAATAATTTTAAGAATTATTTATATTTATTTGTTTGTGTTTGTGTGACTGTATGTCGCATGTGTGTAGGGATCTGTGTAGTCCAAAAGGGGCATGAGGAACCCAGGAGATGGAGTTACAAGTACTTATGAACCATCTAATGTATACACTGAGAGCTAAGGTTAGAACTTTGAAATAGAAGAAAGCACCCTTCACCTCTGCACCATCTCCTCAGACTAACTAGGACATTAATCGAGAAAAGTATACTTAGTTAATACTTCAAAATGATTATTAACAGAAATCTTAATCAGTTTTCAGGCAACTTGTTGATCACACCCAAAGAAATAAGCTTTGCATGCAACACCATATAAAATTTATATTAAAAAATCCTTTCTATGCTAAGAAAAAGGAAAAAATACAAACTTTTGGAGAAATTTTATTTTCAATGATAAATTATGTGTTGCTGAAGTCCAAACTGAAATCCAGTTTTATCCAGATGTCATTTCACATGACAGTGACATTTCATCATCTCAGCATTCATGAATTTTGGTCTCAATGCAGGGAACAATTAACTATGAGTTTAAATTCTACTGAAATAATTAGTAAATAACTCAAGGTGATCTTTGGATTATAGATTTTCACTTTATATATAAATATTATCATTTTCCAATAATTTTATTTTATTAACAGTTCTGCAAAGTAGTAATAAGAAAGAAAGCATTATAAAAATGGATTCTGTTTCTTAAGAAGTAGTGTCTTAAGATACCTGCATGCAGATACTGTGAAATATTAATAACTCATCAATGGAAGGATAACGTTCCCTCCCAGTTTTCTTATTTAGTCTTTTCTCTTTTCCATAGCATTGTTAATGAGGTCCATATAATGCAAGTAAATTGTTCTACCTATAACATGAGTTGGAACTCTGTGCTGTATAGATAAAATAAGAAGTTGAATTTGTATTAATCTAATGTGAACTAAAAAAATTAATAGAAATGAAAATTCTAATTTCAGCTGAAAAATTAGTAGCTGGGCCAAAGTATGAGTCTCTGTTTTCACTGTCTATAAAGGGCCATAATATGAAAACAATCAAGGTTATTGGATTGTTTATAGCTTAATATTCACATCTTCCAAAGGAATATACATGTCATGGTTTAAAATAGAAGCGTTAGGTTAAAATAGGAACCTTATGGTCTTCCCTACTTTGATGTTTTATTATTTAGAATCCATCATTTATTATGTGTTAAAATTAATTTGGAACAAACTAATAGTGACTTGGTTAGGACCAATATGGTGGTCTTAGAGATGGTGGCATTAAATTTATTAAAAATGAATGGGCTGCCTCATATTTATGTCATCTCCACTGACATTTTAATTAGGTTAAGTAGTTGTATTGGCTTATGCCAATAATTCTTGCAATTAGGGAGCTGACCTGACAGGGTCATAGGTGTGTGTCTATTCTACATTGACTGAAGGTCAGAGTTGGAACTTCTGTTTCTTGAAGTTTATTGTCAACAGGTGTGGCTAATATTCAGACCTAGTATTTCAGGTTTTAAGAAGTAGATCTGTTTCTACTTCAAACAAAGGTCCCACCTTGATTTAGACCAGAGAGTTCTGCTCTCTCAAGTTAGTTGTCAACAGGTGTGGCTAATATTCAGACCTGGTATTTCAGGTATTAAGAAGTAGATCTGCTTATACCTCCAAGGAAAGGATAAGGATCCAACTTAGTTCTCACTGCCTTAAGGGAGTAGGAATAACAATGGATTCCACACAGGGAGTGGTTTGCCTAAAGAGTGTTTTGGTCTTGGCTGTGAGTGTTACTTGTCTTGTTCTGGTAACAGAATGTTTAACTATGAATGCAGCCCATAATCCTTTAACTGGTCTCTTCACTCCTTGTATCATGTTGATGCAATTTTATCTTACTCCTACCTTTTAGGGTGGGGGGGGTATTTAAGCTAATGGAAATTAAATGTAGGCAATTTTTAATATTCACTGGCACTCCCTCCAGATAATATCCTATGCTTCCGTTTGTTATTTTTCACTTGACTCTTCCTTTTCTTTACTTATTTTTCTAATTCCCATGCCTCTACTCAGTTAAGTGACATCTTTGTGGAAGCTGGTCTCTAACACTGATCAAAGATTTCAAGTTCAAAGTCAACCTAGGCCAATAGGGAGAACCTTTTTCAAACAAAAACAACAAAATAAAAAACTATGCTGTCAATCTGCAGATTCACTGTTATAATTATTCTATTCCAACAAAGTTCCTCATCTATTTCATTCACATCAGCTTTTGCTCTGTGGAGTGCTATCTACTTTCTTTGACTGTAGTTTACATATCTTTGACGGATCATTTTGTTAGTGAAAGACTCTAAATGCATTTCTGAGGCCTCTCAGCTCTAAAGACATTTTTTGAAGCCTTTTAACATTTGGAAATGGGACAGTCACCCACACACACATGCTGGACTGCTCATCCTCCTGTGTCCTTGTGAATAATCTTCAAATATAACTCCATTCTGGGAATTGAGGCAAAGACAATCCATAGATGTTGACTCAGTTCCTGATGTATTGATTTAGTCCCTGAAACAAGGTCAGGATGGCCCACAGTTGCTCCCCCTTATCTAATCTGATCATGCAGCTATTCTCCTGCCCTGGAATAGACCAATCACTGCTAGTAACCCTTTGAATAAGCCAATCCAATAAGTTGAATAACAATCTTCAGGTTCCCCCCTTGTGTCTGTGGCTTTTTGCTTTAAAAGATGGGCTGTAACAACTATTGGACATCCTTCATATCCTGAACCTGAAGGGTCCTGTCATGACAGAATAAAAATCCTCTTGCTTTTGCATCAATTGTGGTTATGTGAGTGGTATCTGGAGCAATTCCTCCCTGATGTTTGGACTTCTAGTCCAACATTAGTGATTCATTTAGAAATATTTTAGGAAAGCCCTGAATTTATTATAGTGAATTGTAAAGTAGGATATTTTGCAACAAAAATTAATCCATATGAAAGTTAAAAACACAATGCATCTATAAATGGACATTTTTATCCATAGAAACCAAATATCAAATCTTATCTTTTTTCAAGTAAAGTTAAATGTTTAAACTCTCTTTCAAGTAAAGTTTGTAAATTTTAAAATAAAATTTATAGTCTAAGTTATTTTTCTCCTAAAGTAGTGGACATACTCTAGGATTATTTTATGTAATAACAGTAAAGTAAATTTTGATGCTGAGATGGAATTTCAAGTCCTATTTCTATATCTGTGTATATTTAATAAATTTACTTATAAAAAATGTACAATGGCATATTATGGTCCTTTATAGACAGTGAAAACAGAGACTCACATTTTGGCCAAGCTACTAATAATTCAGCTGAAATTAGAATTTTCATTTCTATTAATTTTTTTGTAGCTAACATTAGATTAATACAAATTCAACTTCTTATTTTATCTATACAGCATAGAGTACCAACTCATGTCATAGGTAGAACAATTTACTTGCATCCTATGGACCTCATTAACAATGCTATGGAAAAGAAAAAAAGACTAAATAAGAAAACTGGGAGGGAATGTTATACTTCCATTGACGAGTTATTAATATTTCACAGTATCTGCATGTGGGTATCTTAAGACATTACTTCTTAAAAAAACAGAACCCATTTTTTATAACATCTCATTCTTATTTCTACTTTGCAGCACTGCTAATAAAATAAAATTATTGAAAAATGTTAATATTTATATGTAAAGCGAAAAAATACTCTGAATGTAAAACTAAACTAATTTGTGTTAATAATTATTCCTTCTAAAAAATAAGTAGCTACAGAAAATCTATATCAAGGATATATGATGCATGTATTTATGTGTTTACACATATATTTATTTAGAGCTTACATAGCATGTTAGAATCACGGGTAAAGGAACAATGTAGTTTATTGGACATGTCTATATTCATAAGTGAGTTATATTAGATGAATGTAGCCAATGAAAATTCATCTTAAAAATATTATATAAAATACACTGTCAATCTTTCTGGATAACTCATGTGTTCACGCACATACGTGTCTTTATTTATAGCAATATCAATCATTGAGTGTAGACCTGACTTTACAAATCACTAAGTACTGCTAATGTGTGTGTCTGCAGTGTGTCACACATACTGACCTGTCGCCTTTGAAGAAATAGGTTTTGCCAACATCTTCCCACCAAATGGCAGAATCAATACCGTGAGGGGGAATTCCATTCCCAAGGGTAACCAAATCATGAGGGTAACCTGGTTGAAGAGTTGTATCCTTGAACACCCAGTATTTGTTACCTGTATGAAATAAGTGTAGGTACAGAATGTGTTAGTGAAACATCAATTGCAAGGTACTTGTCAGCATAATGCATGTAAGCTACTATGCAAGAGATCCTGGAAATAAGTCAATCATAGTCACACCCAGAATATTGACATTCTTGCTTAAATATCAATGGCATGAACAAATATAATGAATAAGTACCTAAATAATCTAAATACACAAGTTAATCTAAACATAAAATAGAACAGCTAATTAATAATACAAATTTGTGAGTTAATTTAAAATTAAATTATATTGTAGCCATAAAGAAACAGTTCTAAGTCAAAGATTCTTCCCCTGGGTTCTCAAAAGCCTTACTTATATGGCCTGCTAGCTCTTTCCTGTGGTTTGAACATACTGTAGGACTAATTGAGTTTTGGTGATACCATCTACTCTTTGTGAACATTTCCTTTTAATTTGTAATTTAATACAGATTTATTTAGTCTAATGAAGTCTTACACGCGTTTATGTGAACTATAAAACTTATAAGGGCACCTAAGTGGAGGGGAATTTTAACCCTAAACTGTTCAAAATTGTTGAGTATAATCACACACACACAAAGCAGGCAGAGTTCAATCAATTGCATTGGTGTTTGGAAATTGTCTATAGACAGCACATATCTAATACATCACTGCTCTTGGCACACTGCACACATCACTTACTCCCCAGGATGCCATACCCTGTAACCATTACTTCACAAAAAGTTGATTTCAACCTGACATTTAACTGAAAGTTTCACTTTGAGGGTCATCGATAATTCCAGTTAAATGATTCCTCAGTGTGGTGATTTGAATGAGAATAGCTTCCATAGACTAATATATTTGTTTGTTTAGTCCCCAGGGGGTAGATTTTTGGAAAAAGTATTATCAGGATTAGGAGGTGTGACCTTGTAGGAGTAACTGTGGCCTTTTTGGAGGAAGTATGTCAGTTGGGTGGACTTTAAGTTTTAAAAACCCTTGTCAGACCCAGTAGCTCTCTACATTTTGCTGGAGGATCAGAATTTAAAGCTCTCAGCTATTTCTCCAGCCTGCCTGAATGCTACCATGCTCCCTGTCATGATGATAACGAAGGAAGGCCCTGAAAGTGCAAGGCCCCAGTTAAATGCTTTCCTTTATAAGATTTGCATTGTTGATGGGGTCTTTGCATTACAATAGAACATAACTAATATATTCAATCTTATCTGTAGATTAAATTCACCAACTAAAGTAGCTTCTTCCTGAAGCAATTAGGACGCCATTTTATCTTGTTCCTTTTTCCTCTCTAGCTGTTATTTTCTGAACTCGATTTATTTTGTATTTCTTTTGTACTCATCAGTACATTAATTATTTCTCTTTTCTTACTATAATTCTGGCTTATGCTTTCAACACCGGGATCTAGGTTTGCTATTTTGAAGGTTTTGAGGTCTTTGGGAGATAGGGTCTGGTTGGCTGAAATAGGTCACTAAAGGCAGCCCTGCTAGTCTGATCACATCCACAATTAAGAAGAGCAGAGAGAGAGATGAATGCATACGTCCTCTCCTGTACTCAGCCTTCTCTCTATCCTTATGCAGTCCTAAATCAAAACCCAGACAATAGTGTTTCAGGGGAATCCAGGTTGGGTAAACTTGACAATTAATATTGACCACTATCTTCTTATTAATCTTATTCAGACAGCTGTCATGAAGCTTATTCAGATGATCACAACATAACTGTGTTCACTATCTTTTCATATTGATTGTGTCATTACAGTCAACTGATTTCTCAGTCACTAAAATTTATCCCTTGAAGGCCACTCTAATTATCAGTAACACAAAGCCTTGCTTTTGTTTCTTCTAAAAAAGCCTTGCTTTTGTCTTTTTTTTTTTTCATATGCTCCCTCTACACTAAAACAAGGATGAGGAGGAGGCAAAGACTCAGGAACGCAGCTGAACTGAAAGAGAAAAAATGACAGAGTAAAGCAGAGCTGAGCCGCGAATGAATGCAATACCAGGTGCTCACTAGAGAGAGGTTGAGCAAATGCAGTTCCTGGTTGTGAGTTATCACATCTTCTCCCTCTTAAACTCAGTTAATCCATTTCACCTTTACTTTTAACTGAACGAGACATCTCTTTATGAACTTTGTGCCTCCAAATTCTATATGAAGTATGACATGCATTTGAGCCTCCAAATCTTGGAATCAGAGTCCTGGCTTTTAGCCAACATACCATGCTGTCTTCTAGCCAGATTCCTTAGTGACTTGACGACAACTTTGTAGCTTGTTCTATTTCAAATCTCTTTCCTTTCCAGTTTGCCTCTAGCTTGTCTTCCTTCCGTTCATTTTTCTTAAGGCAATTGGAAAAATTCTTCTAGACTTTATTACCCAGTTTTGTGTCTTTAAAATTTTTACCTGTTTCTTTTTTCTAATTGCTCACAAGGTAGAATTCTAATGCACATATGTGACATTTCAAGGCTCCTTTCAGCATCATTTGCTTACTTCACCTGCATTCAATTTATTCACCATTGAGATAAAGTGAGGTAATCCCTTCAGTATATATTTGGGTTATTTATGTTGAAGCACCCTTCCTCCATAGCATGGTTTGCTTATATTGCCCGAGTGTCTAGGCCTTATCCTTACCATGATACTACCTAAATGATATGTTTGCTATTAGCTTTGCGTCTTGTTAGCAAACCTGGAAGATGGATCTTATCACCAATAGCATGTCTGAGCAAACAGTCATGGCTCACTACTATGATAAAAGACTATGCAGATGCTATATTTAATGGTGTGTTGGGAAATGTCATCATAGAATCCATGCTTTTTCCAGGTTCTTTTATGTCTGGAAATTTTAACGTAGGTGCTTTGCTAATGTCCAGATCAAATCTTTGACAGAGTAATGAGGTTAAAAATGGAAAGAACTGTTTCAAAGCTCAAGTCTTCTTTAATCCACATCTCTTTCACCACTAAAACAGAACATGTTAAAACAAAAGAGGAAAACTTTTAAAAGGTCCAGCCTCCTCACCTATGTGTAGCACTTCCTACGTCCTTTCCCTTCATCCTGATTCTAATTAGGAGCGGACATGTGGCTACAGTGCCCTCCGTGTCAGCTACCGAGAGTGTCTTTGGTCAACTGAGCGCTACTGTGACTTTCTAGTAGAACATTCTATACTTTATAATGTATATCTCGGCAGTTTTGAACTTTACTCCTTTCATGACACTTCTTCACTGTTTTCCCATATTCACAGTGGTTGATCACACAGAATGACGTGTTCAGAGAAGCTTAAGAAAGCTTACATGTTGGCTGTATGTCTCAAGAGAGAATAACAAAATGTTGATGATTTTATATAAAATTCTTACTATTCTACTAGAATCTTTCTTGTATTTTGTGATTACATGTGATATATATGTATATTTATATGTATGTAAGATGTGTGTGCATGCACATGTGATTACTTATTCAAATATGTGATTTTGGTGGCCACATTCTAAGACCCATAGGACAACCTCAGGTGTTGGTGGAATTATTCAGCCACAGATAAGGCTGCACTTTCGAGCTCTAAAGGCAGGCACCTGAGGACAGGCCCTCAGGCACAAAGCGTCCTGCGTGGCCTACATGCGCACATACATGGTTACATCCACATGACTTAGCTAAACCCTTGCGCGCATGCGTGAGTCGTCCGCTATCTGCATCATCAGTGTGATGTAGTCACGCCAAACCCTGTGTGCATGTGCTAGGCAGCTTTTAAAAGCTCGGTGTGCCATCTTTGCGCACTGCACACTGCACACACTGTTTCCCAGGCCTGTACGTACCCACCTCTAATAAACTCCTAAGTGGGTTTGTTGGTGTTCTCTGTCTCCTTCTCACTTGCGCCAGGTAATTTCAGTTGGTCCCACCTTTCACCTTGTCTGAGACAGTCTCTGTGTGCCTCTGTGTATGCTCAGTTATTTAGCCTGTGAAATTTCAGGGTTTTCCTGATCTCCTTTCCCGTCCCTCTCAGAGCATTTGTGTTACAGGTCTCTGCTTATAGCAGCAGGTTTTGCATGGATTCCGAGGATCAAAATTCAGGTCCTTACACAATGGACTTTTGAGACTGGGGAAGACAGCTCAGTGAGCAACGTTTCTAAATCTACATGATGGAAATGCTTTTTGATTGGACCAATAGTTTACATCATACATATGGAAATAACCAGTCCTTCACTTTGAATGGGTAAGACTTTATATAGAAGATCATGACTCAGTTTTTCTGTTAGGAAAAACCAAGGAATGAATAAAGTAAAACAAAAACCTTAACAGCACTTGTCAGGTTACAGGATGAAATCCCAGGAGTTATACACCAAAAACATTATGGGGATACCATGACTTTGCCTGCTAGGTATTGTGATCTAGAATCAAGGAAATATCAATTGACAATGAGTGGCAGTACTTACATTTTCTGTGTGTTTATTAAGGATTTACAACACAATTCCTTCTGCATCTTAATGAGTTAGGATTTTCACATGACAAAACCTAAGTGACTTGGTCTATTTTATAGTTTGTATTTGATGATTTATATTCAACTCTCTTTGTTTTATAGACAAGAGGAGTAGCTTTTTGCTTATGCTGTCATCAGGGGGCCCTACTTTCAGAGACACTATCACCTAGGATGCAGAATCAAAGCTTTTGCTGGATTTGAAATGAAAGTGGCAGGTTCTGGTAGAAGTGGAAAAAGTGTTCTTAGTGACACTGTATTAGAGGAATGCAGATGAGAATATCAAGTCAGAATAAAGACAGAGAGGTTTGGTAAGTAAAAACGATAACCAGAAATAAGGGGAGAGAAGACCTTACAGATTAGAACCCGTCACGATCTGCTAGTTAACAGTCTGTGATAGTCACTGACATAGCAGATGCAGGTTTGCTGTAGAAGCAACACACAAGGTTCCAACCCCTATCGTGCCTATAGACTACATACATGCATGCAATAATAATAACAACTTGAGAGTAGAGGGAACATGGGGCAAGATTGAGAGAAGGTAACTATCAGAGG